GATAGATAGATAGATAGATAGATAGATAGATAGATAGATAGATAAATAGATAGATAGACACACAGACAGATAGATAGATAGATAGATAGAAGGTACAAAGTGCTAGACAGGCCAACAGTAAAAACATTTAAATCGAGTTACTAGTAACTCTGCCCTGTTCATCATGACAAATAACATTGTCCCATATTCATGTCAAAAATGGCAAGAGAAAGTTTAGCAGAAAACTGCACAACGACAGGCTGGATTCTCCCTGTTTACTACATAAACTATTAAAGGGTATATCGAATGTTCTCCTTTACAACACGTTTTCAAATAATTTGAAGCCCGTGGTTCTGTAACCATAATAAACCAGACCCTACCCCCCCCCTCCCCCCGAACAGATACGTCTGAGCTGAGCAGAGCGACAGACAATAAGCGCATTACAATAATTACAAACAGTCCGGTGAAGAGAAACGTGAATATGTGTGTAAAAATATATTCTAGATCGATGCTTCAAGGCTGTCTGCCTGAAAATGAATTTTCGAAAATTAATCAACAGCTTCTCGCTAAACACGGTTCTTGGGAAAATACAAAGATGCGAAAAAAAAAAAACGAGCTGTGAAATTGAAGCGTTGTCAAATACTTTTGGTAAGAAGCTGAGAAACAAGAGCATCTCCCCTCGACGGCAACAGATGATTTAAAAGTAAACAGTAAAAATGAAGTGAGTCAGAACCTGTTATGATTAAATTTGGTAAAGCGCAACAAATATAACTTTCAGTCATCATTCAATATTATTACAGCCGTATTATAGTGTTTTGACTTTTTAAAGGTGAAATTGAACCCAAAGCGATCTAAATTGTACAGCACGTAGAGCCCACTGCCAAGGTGCCGAGGTGAGTCAGGGGCTATAGATGTACTGAAGGGGGGATAAAAGCCTACTGTTAAAAACTATTCTACGTAAAAAAGAACCATACAGTTCAGAAATGGCGATCCAAACGCGATCCTGTTCAATGCTGAACGGCAAAATTCACGTCCTCGTTAACGCCACAAAGGCTATTTAAAGGTGAACTCTTTTGACCAAGCCTGTCAAGGCCAAACTGATATGAGAGGGGCACAGCACCCCAGTAGAACGACTGAGGTCCTCGGTAAAAAAGATTTCCTTGCTCAGGAACCGAACAGCGAGGATCATAATTGTTACACCACGGGCGATGTTTAACGCCTCCCTCGACACAAGTTAGATCATTTAGGTAGTGGGCTGCTTCGATCCTGTCTGTCAGGGTCAACCCGGGCTGAATGAGATACTACATCCCAGTAAAAAGACGGAGATACTCGATAAAAATTTCCGCACACTGAATGGAACCTGTACAAAAATGGCATGTCGGCTATAAGGAAGAAGAAGCGACCCTTAAACCATGACAATTGAAGAATCACGAGAGAAAGAATAACAGTACTTTTTTTTGTCTCTTGCCCATTTCTATGATATTGACGCCATCTGATTAGTAGAAAAATGTGCGCATGGCAGTGTCCAATAGTGTATTTCGTACCTAATTGATATAACTTGTAACTCTTACAGACAGATATTCAAGATAAATATTAAGATGTATGCCAAGTATCTGAGAGCAATCTTGATTTTAGATATGATGGTGGTGATAAGTAATGATGGGAGATGGTGTTTATGTAAATAATTATTGCGCAGAAATGCTTCTGTAAGTTGAATTTGTTATGTTAGCGTTAGTCCCAACTTCCTCTGTTCCGATGAGTCACGAGGCACATGTGCACCCTCTATCCCGTTTCCTACTGGAACCATCTTTCATGTCACTGTGAGGTTCCGAAACGGTGGGCACAGTCTGTGCTAAGGTGACATTGTTAGTATTAGCTTCTTCTAGCGGGGGAAAAGTGAAGAGAGAACCTAAGTAGGTAGACAGTACAGAGTCAGGTATGTTGGAGACTTCGTAAGCAGGTTGTAGGTAGCAAGTTGACAACCAGATTATAGGCTTAATAAAATACAGTAGTCATATTCTACTCTCTAATCATTTATCCCAGTCATTCCTTTCGAGTCTTATTTAAACATAAAGTTGTGAAGATTCCGACACAGGATCCTCGATCCCGAGTCGAGAGGGAACAGTAAGAATAACAGTACTCACGACAATCCGTGGCAGATGGCGCAGCTCTCCGGGTCCATAGACCCCGGCCAGGCGCAGGACACAGCAGCGAAGAGTGGCGCCCCCTGACGTCTTGGCGCCGTTGGAAGCAAGGACTTTCTTCTCAGCCAGCATCTTGGTCTTAGAGTAGTGGTCCGTGAACTGGGGAAACGAGGAACGAAAGATAATATTATACAGAACCAATGAATGAATAAAACAATAGAATAGATAGATAAATAGATAATGAATAAGCAAATGAAAGAATAAATAAATCTCAAACAGGAATAAACTGGTTTCATTTGGTTTACTGTTGCTTGCTTTTTTCCATGCCAAATCCCTCATCACTTAAACAATAAAAGGGCTCAGCCCATCTGTCAACGGGAATATACACCGTAAGATGTGCACGCAAAAGAACTTTTCTTTGTTGATTTACTTCCCCCTTCCCCATCCCCACCCTCCCCATCCTCTCATCTCTTTTTCTCTTTACTCTTCCAACTGGGACAAGAGGTGCTCTTTCCAATTTTAATGACGAATTTGCGATCTATACGGCGCTAAAACCATGCCAAAAAGCCCTAGACCTCTTGGGCATAGAATGGGTATTTCATTTCAAAAGGTGGGAACGTAATCTTTAGTTCTCTCTGGTCGCTTTGGTTAAAAAACAAAAGCATACTCCAGGAAGGAAAGGGAAGAGATAATGTGAACCTTTCTTGTACAAGTATCCAAACAGAAGCCTTTCGCAATGACTGCTTTATGTGATGGTATAAAGTTCTGATTCCTGTTTAAAAGTGCTTACGTACCCAAAAATATGCAAATGCAACAAAGTTTCAAGGATATTAACTCAGAAATAAAATCCGAACTGCACTAGAATGAACATTGCAGGCGGATCTAAAAATGGTATTTTTACACAAAAGAAGATATCTTTAGAATTGAAATCTGTAATTTGGTAATGGTCTTACCTAAGTAGGTCTCTTCTAATAGAACATAGGCTGAAAGGTTATAGTTAGGAAATTAAATGTCTGCTTCAAGTTTAAAGAAGCAGGCGATCTCTCTGGTTCCCCACCACAATCTCTCTCTTTCTTTCTTTCTCGCTCCCCCTTCACTCTCTCTCTCTCTCTCTCTC